AAATATATCCTTAAATTAATAATAATTTTTTTTTAAAAATATTTTTAAAGAGCTTTAATTAATCAAAGAATTATTTTCTAATTTTAATAAAGCATAAATTGATATGTAACTCACGTTAAAAATATCGGACGATATATTTAAATCGTATATAGAAAATTACGAACATATTCTTGAAATATACAAAAATTATCTGAAAAATAATTTGTTTTAGAAACCAACTTATAAAAATTTTGTTTAACGTTGTCATCTGTCTCAAATGTATTAAAAAACAAGTTTAGAAACTTGATTAATTGCCTTTAGGCCAATACTGGATGCCGACATTTGACCAATTGTTACACATATCTAATTGGACAATTGCTGTATTCAGGAAGTATATCTTCAACTTTAAAACTGTGCCTTAAAATTCTAGTTTTATTCTTAGAAACATTTTTTCATTTTCTTTTTTTTTAAAAAACTAAGGATTGACCTTCTTTTTCTGTTTCTAAAGATTCAATGTCAATGCACATATTAAAATTAATTAAAATTGCCAAAAAAACATAATGGTTATTTAATTTTTTGAATATATATTAAATTTATTACTAAATCTTTTAAAAAAGCTTAATTTATAAATTTTATTATTTATTTTATTTAGCAATATTCGATCCCTTCGTGATTTTTTATACAAATTAATTTTAGGAGGTGTGTTATATGGTGCATGAAATCATAAAAAACATTATAAATAATGTTTCATTTTTTAGTAATAGCTATTTCATTATTAAATTATTTGTATTTACAAGTCGCATATTAAAGTTTATTAAATTTAATTAAATTTAAAATGATTGTAAATTTGCTTAGATGGCAGATAAAAAAGTTAATTTATTTCTTTTTCAATTTAATTAAATAATTAATTTAAATCGGCGTTTACATGTGTTATAAGTGCAAAGAATTACAAAAGCCTTAATTTAATCGCAAGTTGATAAATTTGTAATAAAAAAGAAATATTGTGTTTGTTTAATATTTAACTAAAACATTTCAACTTACAATTGTCCTTTTTACAAGTACAAAATTTTTAGAAAATATTAATTTTAAACCGTCGAAATTATTGCCAGAAACACCAGTAATATCGTCCTTTTTTTCAAATTGTTTGACCCTAGAAATACCCGTTTTTTATAATTCAGCATATTTATTTACAAAGTGTTCTTTAATATTTTTCAGAAACCGTTTAAATATTCTTTTTTTATTTTTTTAAGTGAGCATTTGATTTAAAATCTAAAATTTTAATAATTACCTTTATATTATGAAATTGTTTACATAACAATTTTTTTAAAATATCGCTTGTACATTAGTTAAATAATATGTTTTTAAAATACTACAAAAGTTGTATATCATTCATTTAATTTACAGTTTGTATACATATTTTGCTCAGATTGAAAATTATACTTCAATTTATATTATAATTTGTATTCAATTCGAAGTAGTGTTTAATCCTTAACTTAAAACCAATACTATAGTCAAATAGGAGACAAGGTAAGAGGAATATTTAATAAATATAATGTACACCAACAATCCGTATGTTACTAGCGATTCTATTTTTAACAAAAATATAATTAGAAGAGGCCTTCCAAGTATTTAGCTAAAAAATAGGAAGTTTTTAGTTTAATCAGTTAATATAATTAAAAACATTAAACAAACATATTTTCAAATAAACCCGATAACAACCATATCACTCGCCTCTCTAAAATCAATTATTTCTGAGGCAAAAATTAAATTTCAAAGAAGAATTCCTTGGAAGTAACTAACAAACTTCTTAAACCTATCTGAGATATCTATACAGTGACATAAAAAAAAAATATAGTAACTTTAAATTGTACAGAATCATCGACGATCTAAATATTCCCGTCTAAGAATTATCTATTTGGCGCACCCATGGAAATATTTCTCAAGAAAAGATGAAGACTTTGCGTCTTCAGGAACGGAACACCTATTAAGTAAAAGGAGGGTTGTTCCTTCAATGCAACGAGAAGAGGAATACAATAGATCATTTGCCCATCCAGTACAACTGAATGCTGTTTCACAATAACATAGGAAGGTACAATCAAAAGCCTAAAAGCATTCTCCCACAAATGTGTCTAAAATACAATTGCAAAATATCTCGAAGCACCGAAGTTACTCTGTTTGGGAATGTATTTAAAATGAAGGAGCAAAAATCAAGGGGATTAAAAATACAAAGCGCAATTAAGATAAAATACAAATAACCAGACATATAAGTAATTAGTTGATAAAGTAAGAAAAGAGACAGTCATCATAAAGAAAAAAATTACCTACTTTGGCAGCCTGAGAATTACTGAAGTTGAGAAAAAACATAAATACGATTTTTAAGCAAAATTTTGCGCCTTAATTTACAATTATAAGACAAAGATAATATCGTATGTAAAGACGTGGGAAGGCAAATTAACTTAATACAGCACTGCTTATAGGAAATCTACGTGTTTAGATGGGCAAGTCGAAGCGTATGTAAAATTTAAAGTTCTTCAATTAACTATCGAGAGCTTTACGCAAGATTAAAATGTGATCTTCTAATCTTTGAGTTTACGGTTTACAAGCTAAAGAATTAAAAACTGGAAAGAAAAATGCAGAAGGAAAGGCGCCATGCCTATAAAGAGAAGGAAACTGAATAATATAAATTAATTTATATTGCATTTTATAGTAAACTATAATTAAACATTTAGATAAATAAATACTTTTATTTTTCACCTAAAAAAACTAGCATACAAATAATTTTTATAGTCTGGCAACTTATAAACTTTTTTTCAAAATATATACACCAATAAAATCGAAATTATTTATTTATTTTCAAATGCTGCATTAAGCTCTGATTTATATTTGCTAATAATTAGATCTTCATTTTCTGTTTTAATGTATATTATACCAAGGAAAGCCGAAGAAAATA